TTTAAAGAACTAAAAACATTCAAAGAAGAGTAATGGATGGGACACCAAGAAAAAGTGCGTGTGTGAAATTGGAGCTGGCTAATAACCATGTAGGGTGATGCCTTCTTTGGGTGGAAGGAAAATAGTGATACCATCCAACCACTTTTTGAAATGGATGGAGTCAGGGGGTCACAATGCCAGTCCAGCTACAAGCACAGGGATCTTGTTTTCTGTGTGTTTACAGAGTGCTGTGTGTACTTAACAACTCAAAACAATGGGATCTGTCATGGTCACTCATACATCTACTCTCCCTGCAGATTTCTTCAGAGGAAACTCAGCCTGCCCCCTGCAGACCCCAGCCTTCACCAGTTCCTTTTCTCCTCTTTTACCAGAGATCTGCTGACACCCCACTGGGCAAGTATCCTGGAATGAACTGGGGGGGAGCTGGAATGAACCAAAGTCTTACAACAACAACATCCCACTAGTAAGCTCATGCAGTGCCATTCACCAGCTTTGTTCCTTCTGTGCAGCTAACAACATACATTGACTCCCATTGTGTGTCCTCACCTCATGATGGAAGAACGGTAGAGAAAGGGAGGAGAAAGAATGTTTGTGAAATGTCTCGGTGCCAGTAGCATTCGGCCTGCCTGTCAGTCACTGTAATGACCCTGCATTTCTATCACACTGTTCAACCTGTTACGCCCAGAGCTATTTCATCCACCAGAGAAATGCAGCTACTTCTCCGAGGTCCCAATTCAGCAAAGCACTTGAACACGTGCTTAATGTTAAGCATGGAAGTGGCTCCACTGAAATCAACACTATGCCTGTGTTTAGAGTTAAGCATGTGCTCGAGGACTTTGTGCAATGAGGGCCTAAGTGAAGAAAAACACCACATCCTTTTGAAACTGCAGGAGAAACAGAGGGAGGCAGAGTGCAATGGCAGAGCTGGAATTTGGCCAGGAAACCAGGGTCAGTGTTCTAAGAAGGACATGGGATCCTCAGCACCTTTCAGGAGAGGACTGAAGGGGGAGACAGAGGTTCAGGGTGCTAGAGGCAGAAGAGGGGAAGCTAGAAGGGAGGAGGTGGGGGTGGAAATGAAGGGAGAGGCCCTTTTTCCCCACTGGGGCCTCCGTGTGCTACCATAATATAAATATATAACTATGCAGCAATTACATTGTTTGGGAGTAGGTCAGGGACAGCAGGTCACCATGTCACAGTTCTTTATCATTTATACATACCCGGTTCGCAAATTGGTAATGGAGGATTCCATGTACGATCACTTTCGCACTTAATCGATCCATAATGGTCTTTGAGGGCGTAACCGGGATTACATTCAATGCGAATCTTGTCCTCATACTCATAGGTTGCTTTTCCAAGTATTGCTCTTCCATTGGGAATGTTTGGAAATGGACATCTAATTTCTGTGAAACACCACCACCACCAGTGTTAAATCAGAGCAAAAACAATTCTGCAGATTCATTTACAAGCAGCAGCAGAACATTTTGCTAGCTATAGAAAGTCAGCATTTCCTTCACATTTTTGAAGAGG